GCGTCGTGTGCGACGTCGTACCCGCTAACAACGACGATTTTAGGTGGCATTGGGCGAGAATAGACAATGTATGACCAAAAGGGCACAAGTGTTGTCTACATGAAATCCGATGCTCCAATCGAAAGGGTAGTGCAATTAAGGAAACGTCGCGCCCATTGCCGCGCGCGACGGGGCGGCAATTTATGATTCTCTTGCCCGTCTGCCAGTAATCGATCTGGCAGCTCTCGCCATTCGAGTGGTGAGAATGAGGTGATAAGTGGAAAGAACTGATATCGTCATGGTAACAAAATGTGAGAACTTACAAACACATCTTATCTTTACAGTAGGCACGTACAAACTGGTATCGGCAGGGGTCCTGTAGAAAGACATCACGGACGGTTTTTATGCATCTTTCTTCGCTATTCAAATTCCGTAGTACCCCTAGTTGAGCTACATTACCCACCATCTGTGGTCGCGCACTTTGCCTTTGAGCTTTCACCTTAACACTCTTACCATGAAACTTTCTGATGCGAGTCTGATATACGGTTGTCCGTTACAGCTTTCTCCCACGAAGCTGCAGAATGTGCTCTCATTTGTCCGCGCTCGAGCCTTTTGTAGCAGAACAAAGACCATAAGCTCAAATAGCCACGTAGGCGGATTCATATTACGTGCTAGCGCCTAAGACAAGAAGGCAAGTAAGCGAGTAAGATCAAACCTGGTATTTGAAGAGCCGCCTCTTATTCCGTCATAGAAAACATCCCAAAAACAATGGAGCGAGCGGAACTGGGTTGCGCCTAATTTCCTAGAAATCCTAAGTCTTGCAAGTAGATCGTATTTACAGCGTAGGAAAGAGAACACCTACGAAAATTTCACGATTACCTGAGAAATCGTGCAGCAAGATCCTTATGCAGTTGTTGAAGCTCACCACCAGAGCTCTGACATGCGTCTTATTTGCATCACCATTTTCTTCACTACAAATTTGGATTCAATCCGGCCAGCTCGACAACAGCTGTAGAATTAACGCATGGTATCCGGGGCACTAAAGTGTTGGACGGAAAGCACAGTGTGGGCGCGACAATGGCGACCAAGTTCGTTCTAGATTTCAGGCATTGATGATGACCCGCGCTAGGCGTCGACTAGAGCAATATCTGACGAGGATTTGATAAGGTTTTATGAGGCTGCCATCCCAACATTCAGAGATCGCCAGAAAAGCTAGGCCTCGCAGATTCCCGCTGTTCGCGGGATTGTTTCCTGAAAGCATTGGGAAAAGGAAAAAACTGAACAAACTGGGTGCCCCACAATTGGCGACGGGCAGAATTGGCCACGTCCGAGGTTTTCTTCTTCACGTGCTTGCGCAGGCAGAAAGCGACCCGCTTTTGTGGGACAATTGTCACGGCTGTGATAAAAAGTGGATCTGGTATGATAACTAGGAGAACGTTTTGGACAGTGGTTGAGCCGGTGGACGCCCTGATGGCGAATTTCAAATCCTCCGCGCAAAAAGGTTATGGTCATCAGTGTGGAGCCATCCGCGTGTGTGATCCACTATAAATTTTTGTTACCAGGCCAAACCATCACAGCAGAGTCCTTCTGTGAAGAAATCGACGAAATTTACCGAAAATTGCGTCAGCTGCGGGCACATTGTGCAGCAGAGATGGTCCGGCTATTCTTTTTGGCTGACAACGCCCGCCCACAGGTTCAACAAATCACTCATTCATAAAGCTGAACGGAATTTTGGGTTGAAGATTTACCTCTACCCGCCATAGTTCTCACAGATCTTTCAACAACGACTATTAATTTCAAACATTTTCAGAGCTTCTATGCTGGAAAATATTTCATCGATTAGGACCAGGCAGAAAAGCCTTTCGTAGATTCTCGACCACCCTCTGTGGATTTCGTGAATTTCGACCACCCAGTTTTTTACTTTGATGGGATTTCTCGACTGCTGTCACATTGGCAAAAGTGTGCTGATTCGAATGGTGCTTATTTCGATTAAATCCGATGAGTATTAAGAAAGTTATGATCGTTTAAAGTGAAACACTCAAAACGCTGAGAACTTTCCGGACAACCTAATATCATCCTGATCTGCAGCTTTTTATTCAGGCTACTAGAGGAGTGAGGAGGCCACAACAGCTCAGTCTACTAAATAATTGTAACTGGCTCAGCGTGGCTTCAGTTTGTGGAAAAGATTTTCGTGGCTGCGCTCCAGTCCATGCCCCTCACAACCCCTCTCGCTTGCCGATATAACGACTGTTCCTCTCTTTAGCTGCGAAGTACGCACCCATTATTGAGGGGCTCTGCAGTACTCCTTAATAGGACCAGTGATCAGAGGAAATATCGAACCACAGTACGACCAGGGTTCAATAACATTTCTATCCAGATGAGGTCCCAATTTGCAGGAGGGAAACAACTATCACGAGAGTAAATAGTAAAAATATCATGCTGAGTGTGAAAGCGCTGAACGGAATAGCTGTTGGAACGATTCCGTACTCCAACTACCAAAAAAAATTGAGGTGACGCAGTGATTTCATGAAGCAGGCTATTACCCCACTTATAAGAGCCCGTCATTGTCAAGAAAGCATTTCATCGCTTCCGGGCCGATAAGATGGCGCGCGCGAGTACAAAAAGCAGCGTCAGCTGGTAGTAACGAAACGCCATGGTCACTTTCATGAGTCTGGCAAGACCTGCCCGGAGTCGCCCCTCCCAGACCGTGGTCTAAACACTATTCAAAAAAAATAAATTTATTCATACTGAACAGATTAACTTGGAACAACGAGTAGAACACAATCAATACGTAAAAAATACGCAATGTTAGTTGATAAGAATCACAACGTGTGCAAAAGCTGAGCAGCCAGGAAAATAGATCTTTCAAGACGCCAAATACTATTCTCTGCGCGGACGCCTATACTTCATACCGTTTGCCAATGGTTCATGTTCGTTCTCACTCTCGTCGTCCTCAGAACTCTTCTTTGACGCTCTTCGTTTGTACGTCATTTTATTTCCATTTTGCTGGAAAATTTATGAGTTTGAACCTAGTAATAATAAAAAGACAAAGACTATCACTCTGATGGATGCCACTGTAAATCGCAACAGACTTGGAGTCTACTGGTGAAGAGCAAAATATTAGAACTAGCGGCTAACGCCCCTTCACTCTAGTTCTCCGTCCACACTCTGTACCAAACTGACTACGGAAACGAGCGAACGCCTTCACACATGATTATGAAAAAATGACGAAACTGAGGGCAAAAAAGTATGTGTGTCGACTTGGCGAAGTGAAGAATTGGGAGATGCAGAATACGTAGAAATGCCGAGATACCGTAGGATCAACACTACTAGAGCGGAGGGGCTGAGCGATCAATTTCTGTAGTATTTGCCCTTCATTTGGCATTTCTGCAAATTCTGCAAATCTCCCGATTCTGCGGATTTGTCACTTCCTGAGATAAGAGAGTGTCCTTCTTTCTATCCGCACCACGGTTTCATGGTAAAATAGATTGGTAAAGAGAACAGAAAAGAGGGCGACGTTCTCACCACTCACGCTTGAGACGCAGTGCAGATCCGTGATGTGTGAGGGTGGTGTAGGTACGACCCCCCTCCCGCCGAGAGAGGGTGTCAGTACGATCCCCTACCTAAATGTGGGTCTCCGGATACGACCCCCCTTCCCCAGCACTTACCTACAAATTTCCCCCGTTCCAATTTTTTCGCCCAAAAATTTTCCGTCAACGCGACGAATTTCTCTCAAAGGCATATACGGGCTTCCCCTCTCCCAGCGACCACAATACGACCTCCCCCCCCTTCCTCTCCCCACATGTGACTTCTCTCGTGACTCCATACGACTCTCTCCCCCCCCATCCTCTGATCCAACCGAGCTAGAACTGTCGAGCAAGGGGTAGAGAGGGTGAAGGGGGGGGGTGTAAGGGGGAATGGGTGCGGCATCATTCAGTACAATAGAACAATATAATCAGACAACAGTACACCCCTCCCTTTGTAGCGTCCGTGGAACAAGTAAAACCAACAATCCCAACTATCAGAGAAATTTTTCTCAGACCAAATACAACCTCCCCCTGTTGGAGAATCCCCAACTTGTGCCGTGATTCTTATTTGAGCGTTGCTGATTTAATGCGAAAAAGCTGCCACAAGCTAAGTCAACTAGAGAGGAAATCCTGCGTGCGCCGAGCTGGTTGTTAGTGGTCATCTCAACTCTGACCTCCTGATACCCATGCATTTCAGCGCGGAAAGTGTGATATGTACCTTGATTAGCTTTTCACTGTCTTCTTTGTCTGATAGCTCAGAATCCGATCGGACATCGCCGGCTTCTCCTTGGGTAATGGTTTTCACCACAATCTTCATAATGATAATAGTCCAGAATATGTGCAGGATAAGCAACGAGAAGAGCATGAGAATAATAATGCGAGGTACGTAGGGGACCTGAGAATGTTGCTGTTAATTTGCAAAGCATTCATCAACATTTGGTTGTGATTGAAACGCTGGAGTCGTTGACGACCAGAGTACAAAGTTACTAGTAAAAAGGGATTTAGCAGACCTGAGTCAAATTCAGTAGCTCATAATCAGGTTGGATCAAAGCAGCTGCTTCAAACAATGCAGATCGAACGAGAACCAGCGGATAGTAGCCAAGACGAGTGACAAGCCATCTGAAATATATCGAAAACTATCAGCTGTTTTGGTCGAAAACGGAGTAAAGACATGTGGAACTGATGAAAGTGCAGTTTTCTGCGCTGCGGATAACGGGGCTTGCCACGGAAAATGGGTTTGGCGCGCTGCCAGCACGTCCTCCTCCGGTTGTCAAAGCGAGCAGGCAACAACAACTGATGGACTACGACTGATACGAAGGATGTGATGCAGCGCGAGGTGTACAGGAGACTTGGCAAGTCTTCCTCAGCGACCATTTCCAGAAACCTGTGCGCGGGTGACTCAATCCTGGAAAGAGCAGGATTGAGACCCGCGGACAGGTTTCTGGAAATGGTTGCCGAAATTCAACCGGAGCGAGCGATGTAGGGCATCTGGAGCCCGATATCGATGACGGAGGCCCTCATCTTCTCACGAGGCTGGGAGCAGTGACAAGTTCCTTTCTTCGGCATTTAGCGGAACATCTCAGCCATATTTTAACTTGAAACTCTCATGATCTCTCCGCTTGCTGAAAAAAAGAAGAAAAAGTATGGGTTGGCATCGCGTCCAACCCATACCCCCTTAACAAGAATGGGAACTCAAAGGTAATTGGTACGATAAGTCCCCAAGACGTGTAGGGTTAATACGTCCAGCAGAAAAGAACTCTGCGACCCTGAGCAAGCGTGCGGGGTGCCTTCTCCAAAGAGACTACCCTTACAGCGCCTTATCAAACTGCAACTACCGACCCGAACGCCCACCAGGCCCGCCCACAAATGTCCGACCGATGCTGATGCTCGTATCGCTTCATTTGCAAATACAATATGAAGCGAAGGGATTGATATGAAGCGGCTGCGGTGCTGCATGGATATATGTGAGTACATACAAGCAGCCGTATCTACCGTAGCGGTTAGTGGCACGATGCCAACGTGAAACTCGTCCGGACTTCCTTTAGACCGAGTACCAAATTACTGTGCATTATGCCTTTAATGGGAATGATAAGACACTTTCAAACTTACCCAATCAAAAACACAACAAAGCAGGCATTCGTCAAACTTTTGAGATTCCTATCGTACCGTGTGAGTTTACCGAACTCTAGTAGAATATCAGCAAGATCATGGGAGATCAGCACGAGTGTACCGGCTCTGAAAAAATCTTCTATACAAGTCTTTTACTTAAGAACCAGATGAAGAAGTTACTGTTTTTTGAACCATGATCGCATGTGACTAACGGGGTAAGTAACCTCCCAGACCCTGCCACCCTCTCAGACGAACTTGTTGAAAACACTTAAAGACACATGGTACGCTCAAACACATTGAGGGTGTATGAGACTATCAGCCCCCCAGCTGTCGATGTGTCGTGGTCCCCCGCCCAAAACTGCACGGGGTCAGAGTACGGGGCCGTGGGAAAGTCGTAATTCCTTGCTACACCGCCCATTTCGCAAACTCACGTTTATGCTAACACCGTCCGCGCGGCGCGTGTCGCGTGCAGCTCTCTTGGCTTTTTGCCAAGTCCTGTAATTGCGCTTTGGAATACAAGTAAAACGCAATTTCTTTATGCGGATAACATTTTAGGTGCTGCAAAATAAGAACCGAAGATGATGACGAGGGCTAGAACTCAAGAGGTGCTGCTTCTGCAATATCCCTCAGAGGCCGCGCATTTCCACGAAAACATGACATGCGTTTTACTTGTACTCCAGCGCAATCACAGGACTTGGCAAAAAGCCAAGAGAGCTGCACGCGACACGCCCCGCGCGGACAATGTTAGCATAAACGTGAGTTTGCGAAATGGGCGGTGTAGCAAGGAATTACGACTTTCCCACTGCCCCCTACTCTGACCCCGTGCAGTTTTGGGCGGGGGGACCACGACACATCGACAGCTGGGGGGCTGAAAG